AGCTCTCTTTAAGTTTTCTCTGTCTAAATTTACTCAAAGAAAGTTTATATCATCATGCTAAACTTACAAAGTCAGTTTAAGTGTAATGGTTGTTGCTTTTAAGAGTTAAGTTCTAGTACTTACGAGTTATACAATCATGAAAGATTATACAGTTTCACTATTTCTTATTTTCTTGGGATTGGTGTTCTCTAGTTATGTGCTTGCTAAAGCAGCAAGTGAAAACAGGTATGTGACTGATGTGAGTTTTGCACTGGGTAATGACCTGCAAAATAGCAACACTAAGATGCATAACTCTCGAAAGCCTACATCTGGAGGTAATTACGGGGGAGGATCTGATGGAGATTCCAGTTTTGGGTACGGACATGATGGTGGTTTTGGCAATGGGGCAAGTGGCTATCAATCAGGTGGTGGCGGTGCTGGTGGTGGATTTGGAGGAGGTAGTAATGATGCTGGTGGTGGATTTGGAGGAGGCGGTGGCTCTAGCGATGGCATGGGACAAGGTGGAGGATTTGGGTCAGGCAGAGGTTATGGAGATGGCTCTAATAATGGGCGGGATCCAGGCTATGGTTCGGATGGTGGTTTTAGGGCTGGATCAGGCTCGGGATATGGCAAAGGTGGTGCATCTCATGGTGGCTCAAATGGTGGAGGATATGGACATGGAGGCTATGACTCCAACCCTAAAACAGTAGGCTGGTCGAGTTTGTACCATGGCCATAAATTCCATATTGCCCCAACCAAAAACTAATCCTATTATTAACTAGTTATAGAATAAAAGATAATAAGGATGTTCTCTATTTATATTTAATGTTTCAGTTCTCATCATTTTAGGTTTATAATCCTGCAATTTTAGTTCTAAGCGTCCCATAAACAAAGTTGTTGTCTCTAGTATCAAGTAGATCATAACATTATCGAGCACCATGTAGCACTTCAATAAATTATAAAAATTCTAAACATTGCAAAAGAAAACAAAAGAGAAAAGATTGCGTACATTGACATCATGCCATTTAGCAGCAAGGTGCATGTGTTGCAGCTTGCTAACAGTGAACTCTCTTATTTCATCATGCATCTCATCACTTGCAGTGTTGAACAAAAAGAATGCAATTGTCCCTATCAAGAAAAGAAAGCACCTTCTAATTGCCTATTTCGAAGTGTATCTTTTTAAGTGAACTAAAGATGAGATCCATGCGAGGATCACCAGAAACAGATAAAAGAGGAGCCAATCATAGGCAAAGGCTTACTGGCCTTTACCCTTTGCCTTTTGGTAATAACGATGTTGGTCATAAACGAGACACTAGGGTAAGAGCAAGGACACACTCGGCAACAATTTATTCGTGGGTCCAACCTAACTAGCAACAGGAAAGACGAAACCATGGGGATGTAAACAAATGACACTTTCTTAAATGGCATGGCTTTATTCACCACACACAGCTAGAAACTAGAAGCTTATTGGCCCATTTTGTAGCTGTCTGTTAGCTAGCAATGGCACTTAGTATGACATTGATAATATCTCTATATTTCGGAACCCATAAAAATCGGGGACAGAAGCAAACAAAAGAGCAGAGAAGCAACTTACTGATTGTTGCCACAATTTAAAACGTGAGGGCAACTTTTTTTGTTAAGTGCAGGTCGGAGTTTCTCTAATTCAAATATATGACATAAAACAGGTTGAATACATGTCTTCACGCAACCTCCATCTCATATTGGTTGGTCTTGGACATGATCACCAAAAGTAAGAACGGAAAAATATAAAGGAGAACAAAAATAGTAAGACATCCTAGAGGAATGAACACAATCAACATTATTAAACAAGTATCAACTTTTTACTAGAAGTAGTTGCATCATCCAGTTAATGAATTTATTGAAAATATGGTGAGTTCATATATCTGTATATACACACACATATATGCACAGCAATAACAGTATCATTAAACCACACACTACCAGGAGATTGAAACCAACAATTCGTGGTATAAATAGATTAAAGACCTTCAGTACTTGAAGGACATTGTTTTTATACTCAGCAATAAAAAAAATAGACTTGTTTCTGCTCAACCATCGTAGGAGAATGGCCCCGTGGTTGGTGAGAGCAATTAGCAGAGTAACATTTATCATTCTTTAGCCTGAAAATTTTCACAACAAACTGAGTTAAAAATTCCTATCTTTGTGTTCAAACCTTACAAAAAGTTCCGCATAGTAACGAAGAGGACAGGAAAACAAATTGCTATATTTAGTGGAACCCCAAAAATCAAGTGCAATAACTCAAATAAAACAGAACAATTGGATGTCAAATCATCATTAATACAAATTTCTGTTGCTGTGACGGAGAATTCATGAAAAGCTAAGATAACTAGAAGTGATCCAAGTGAAGAACATTGGGAGGGGAAGGAAGCTCTCCACTTTGAATTGTTACAGGAGTTCTATGGGATTTTAATTTGGGAAATCCTTTCAACAAGAGTAAGAGACTAGATAGACATTAATACTAACACCCATGAGCAGAGTGATACTGTTGCCATATCAATATTCTGATCAAAAATCAACTTATTTTTGGTCCTAAAGTTAGTTTCATCATTTATTTACAAGCCAAAACTATGGAATGGTTGAATTTATAGGGTGAGAAAAGAAGTAACAATTACATGCGAAATGTATGCTGGTAACGATATAGATTGATAAGGTAAATGCAGAGAATATAAAATGTATTTTACTTTCAAACATAATGGCCCAAATTAATGTTTGCATCATGTCAACTTCCTGTATTGTCTAATTAAGAAATACTAAATATTTAAAAGTTCTGCTCAACAGGATCCCCGTTAACATTTCATGCAATCCCCAAAAGTTCCAAAATCTCCTGTTAGCCTGCTAGTGAATTCTATCGATATCAAATCATATTTTTTTTAAAGACTGAAATTTCTTCTCAAATAGAAAAAGACTGGGGGGATTATTCTTCAGATGAAGAAGACCTTCATCCCGGGCAATGGAAGAACTCCCTCCCAAAAAAGGGATTATTAGGAAAAGAGCAACTCAAACGGATCTCAGTTTCTAAAGCATACCAACAATTGAACCCAAAAAGAAAAGATGAAAAAGGAAAAGAAGAAAAAAGAAAAGAAAACTACAACTAAATGAATAATCGTGGTATAATTCATCCATCTAAAGTTTAAAAAGTTAAATTTCCCAAAGAAAAGTTCAAAAGGTCAAAGAATAGTCATTGTTAGTTGTTTTTCTTTATTTTTTGAAATAAATAGTCATTGTTAGTTTTTATATTTGGGGGGTGGAAATATGGAAAGTAAATGTTATATAAGAGTTTAAAATGATACCATGTTGTCCGAGCTTGAAGCCCCAGTCAGATCACCTTCATCAACATCAAACTTCGTCTCTGAAATGCTGTCATTGTGCAAAGATGTTATGGAAGATCTTGAATACAATAAACAAAGACAAGATCAAAAGAAGTGAGCTTAAAAATTAGCGATTATTGGTTAAAGAATTAAACAATTTACAAATCACCTTCCACGTCCGTGTGCAAGTGTGGTCTGATTGCCAGCAAAAGACCTAGATTTAGGTGCTGGTACAACTGAAATTTCTGCTTCCGTTGAATGCTTTTTACTCTTTGCCTGTTATATGTCAAAAAGAAATTGGTTTAACTCTAACTAATGCTGCTAGTTAATAAAAAATCACAATGTTTCTGAGGTCTGAGGACAAAAGACTCACAGCAGAACTTTCTTCCCTCCATCCGGGAATCCTATCTGAAAGAAGTGCAATATATTGCTCCATTGCCACATCTGGATTCATGTTCCCAAGCTTTTGCCAAGCATTCCTTGCACAACGTAAGCAGTGCTGTCCATCACTCACACATAGCATCTGTCAAACCTGTTATTATAACTAGCAATCAAGCTATACAGTGTAATTTCGTATAGGGTATGACTGGAGGTGTCTTCTACATGTTTCCAACTTGGACAAGTTTCTGGTGATGAAATTTATATTTTATGGCATTATGCCAACTAACACACCATATAGAATCTTTGTGGCATTGTGTCATAACTTATTACTACTTTCCTAATAATTGGGATTTCGGATATTCTTAATCATGTGGTACTAAAGCCTGATATTCTTAATCATGATATTCTTAGTCATGACTAATAAAAAGTCAGGAGACTAAAGCCTCGCGGAAGAGGCCAAGGGTGTGCAAAGAACATTTTGATAACTGCTCATTTTTGGTTCTAGGGCCTGTTTGATGAGGAAAACATTAGTGAATAGTAACTGAATAGAAACAGACTCAATGCTAGCTCGAATTACATAAATTACTCCTCATCCTCTCCCTCCTCTTCGCCCCTCCCAATTAGCACCCACACAGCCTTGTGAATGCATCTCCTTGTAATAGCACCTATCTGCTACCCCACCCACCGCTTCCCAACCCACCCCCAGCCCCCCTCCCCCCCAAAAAAAAAGCTCTTCCATCCACTTCTCACCGTTCTTCGTGTCCATTTCAGTTTTTAACCAAACCTGCTTTTCTTTTACATTTTCACCAGAAAATTTCAGTTCAATGATGGCTTGTCTGCATTATCGCTTAACTACCTCAGCACATGCATTGACGTCAGTATTAGAACAAGCAGAGAAAGAATAACAGCCTAGCGAAATAATGACATTTGAACAAGCAAACTGGAGTAACGATGCCAAAAAGGACCAGAGAAAGAAAGCAACAACAACAACAACAAAAAAAAGAAAGTCTCTTACCACTTAGCACGCGCAAAGACCTTGAGAGCCATTGGCTGCGGCTCACGGCAAGGCCCTTCGGTGGCAACTTTGTGAAGTCCGTATAAGTCCATCAGCGCATCATTCCCAGTGCTTGCCAAGTTTCCTTTCTCTCCTGATTCCTCTACAAACTTTGCAGCGGCAGCGAAAAGCTTCTCCAACTCACTCCTCTCAATCCCCTCCCAGTCATCATCTTCAATAAACAATTCTTCATTCTTCTCTTCTCCTATTGCCGTTGGTTCAGTATCCAGAGTCCTGGCCTCCTCGGATTTCTCAACAACGACGTCATTAACATCCTCTTCAACTTCCTTTCGTTCATTTCCTTCTTCGTTTAAATCGCTGCATTTTATATCCTCTTCCACAATCATCGCTTCCTCCGTTGAAACTCCTCGCGATCCAGCAACCTCTGATTCCTTCTCTGCAACTTCCTCTCGCAATTCCTCGCATTTCGTTCCGAATATTTCCCCACCTTCAGCCGATTCAACGGTTTCCTCCTCAACCGGAACAGAGTCTTCGCAAACTCGGTCAACCTTTTCAACCTTCTCTTCAACGAACACAATTTTCTTTTCGCCTTCACAGGACTGACCTTTCATCTGCTGCCGAAACTGCAACTCATCCACCTCATGGACACCCGTCCCCGACTTGGAATCCGAGTAAGAGGTCGGATCACCATACATAGCTACCGACACAAGCTTAGCAACAAGAAACGAAAACAGAACGGCGATAATAGCCGTAAAAAATAGCTCCAGAAAAAGCTCCATTAATCCTCTTCCTTTCCCGACAAACAAACAAGGAAAAGAATCAAAATGAAAGGAAACGAAAATTTACACAATAATTCAGATGCAATGACAATGAGGCAAGGACGAAGAGATGAGGAAAAAACGAGAGAAGGATTTGTCTATACGGAAATGGGTAAGGAAATAATATCGGAAGAAGAGTGAGGGGAGGAAAGGATATTTGCAGAGAAAAGCATATTCCAGTTGCTTTTGTACTGTAGGTATTTTGGGTGGCTGTTTGTTTCTGCTAGTAATTTGATTGGGGGAAAAGCGGGTCCCACTTTCGCTGGCAAAGGTTGGTTTAGTCACGGAGTTAGAAACTACAAAAAGGACACATCAAGCCTAGGCAGAGCTGACTATGCAACGGTCTAACCTTAATCCATCTTAAACTGTCGCAGGTGTATGTTTTTCTTTTTCAATTTTTTTTTTTAATCTAAATTTTCTGTTGGAACAAAAATACTATTCAAATGCAGTTAGAGACTGTAAGTACTAATCTATTTAAATTAAGAAAATCGTATTAAATTATGAATGGACGCGGTATAGGTGTGTAATTTCTCATAATTCATCCTATTAATAAAATTACAAATTTTTTTTTTTTATCTATCAGAGTAAATTTCTTTGTTCATTAACTCTTTTATAAATCTGTAATTAAAAATTTATTAATTATATATAACGGGATGAGTTGGATCAAAATATTAAATTTATATCTAGGTTCATACCCGTACTCACTTAATACCCATTAATTACGAGTGGGAATAAACTGAAGCAAGTTAATAAATTATTTACTCATTATTTAATTAAAAAATTTAAGAAAATAAGGGTATCGTAAAAGATATAATTAGCTTTTGGTCTTGCCCTCTTTTGCTGCAAAGAATAAAGAGAGAACTTTCTTAAAACAACAAAAAATGTAATAGCCGCAATTAATTTTAAAAAATTTAAAATTAATATATAAAATATAATTTTTAAATTCATAAATTTTTTAATATAAAAATTAAAAAAAAAATAAGTGGATGATAAAATTAAAAATAATTTTTAAAAAAATTAGTGAAAATTTAGATTATGTGAGTGTTTTTGAAAAAAAAATTAAAAATTGAGGGTTAAAACGTAATTTAAAAAAAATGTGCCACGTAGGATTGCCCAGTCAGCAACTCCGACGAACCGGAACTCGTCGCGTGGCAAGGCATGCTAACTCGGTGCCACACGGGGAGAGAGGGAGGCATGCTGACAATCCGCGTGCCCACGATCGGACAGTCCAGATTTATTCCCACGCGTGTAGACGGTCCAGATCCGTTCCATCTTTAAACGCGATCATACGGTTCAAATCAAATCACGATGAACGGTACAGATTTATTTTCTCTTTAAACATGATCAGACGGTCGAGATCAAATGCGATAGATGGTCTACATTAAAGGGAGATGGATATAAATATATCACTTCATACTGAATCCTAATCCTAGCTGCCGTGCTGGAGCCACCTCCGACCACCAAAAAAGGTATAAAAAAATTTATTCGCTTGAAATTTGATTTTGAACACCTTATGGCCAAATCAGAGCAAAAAGAATGGCGGATGAGCCGAAAAACATGGGTAAAACCTAGCGGTGCCACTGCGAAAAAATAAAAAACTGCCTCCGATGAGACCCTTCATGATTCCTGTTTCATGCGATTTTTCTATCATTGTATTCACCATTTTATTTCTCACAGATTGACCGAAGAAAAACACCCAACCGCAAAAATGAGCCGGCAGAGCCGCCGCACCGAAAAACTCCACCGCCGGTAAGCTTCTATTTTTTGACTTTTTTCAGTCAACCGAGACCCCTTAACGTGTTTTCTTACAGAGATGAGTATAAAATCGACCGAAAATGGCCAGTCTGAGGAAAACTACCGCCGCAGATGACGGTGCCGTCGCCGGAGCACGGCGATGCCATCATGCCAGAATTTCAAAATTGGTCGGAAAAGGGTTTTAACACCTATTTATAATTTTTTGGGGGTATTTCTAAGTACTTAGAGTATATTTTAATCTCTGAAGAAAAATTTAGGAAACCCGGAGACCGCCAGTAGACGTAGCTAAAAGTTTAGTGTTCGGACACCGATTCAGGTAAAAATCCTTCAACCTATTTCTTGTTATAGAATTGAAGTCTAATTATAAATAATGTAGTATTTTATACAATTTAAAAAATTTCGATAATTAATCACATGTTATTAATAGAGTCAGAACCGGTTAGTTATCACTGTTTATCCTGTTTTAACTGATTGATTGATTTTACAGTTTTAAATGCATAATAATATGCTAGAGTTGGTAAGATGATTCAGTTGTGTTTTCTTGATTCATGTATTGCTTGTTTTGCGTGATTTATAGTTAAATTGTGAAACTAAAATTAAATGTAAACGAAGAATTGTTTGATTAAGTGAATGGTAGCTTTACTGGATATCATGGGAGATAGTGGACGGACCAGATGTATAGGAAACCTACCGTGAACGTTGCCTCATACCAAACGGAGTATCGATGATTGATATTTTGGCGCTCATACCGAACGGGGTATGGGGACGACCCGTTTCACCCTCATACCAGACAAGGTATTGAGGGATGATATTTTTTGCGCTTATATCAGACGAAGTATGTGGACGGCTGGTTAGTTGATAATGTTGAATAAGGGTTCACACGTAATGGGGATATCCCTATGGATCCCCATGGATACCAGTAGGCGGATAAAAAGAAAAAGTTATTGTTATGGTTAATTGAATATGAGATTATAATATTGGATGTGTTATTGCCTCTATAGATCAGTTTTAAAAATCTTGATACGGTAAGTATATAATAAATGATTTTATTTATAATAAATGAATTTACTTAAATTAAGAGCTCTATTAATTATTTTCATGATTTTTACCAACCTTTATTTCTGTATCGGTTAGTAATGTGACATTCTTACTGGGGTAGTATAGCTCACTCTTTCATTAACCATTTTAGATCAAGAGTACTAAGATCCAGATCCCGATCCACAAGAGGATTACGAATAGGATGTACAGTTGTTTACTTTCTATTTATTTCTTTAATTTTTCGTTGTTCTTTTAGACGAGTTATTCCCGTAGTCCTATTGGGTATTCTGAATTATTGTGTAAGGAATGTAAACTCTAATGCTATTATTTCACTTCTGCATTCAATTTATAACTTATTTCCTTAGTTATGGGCAGTTACAGTTGGTATCAGAGCCAAGTTTTCCGGAACCATTCCTTACACAAAAAATCTAAGAAACACTAAAGAATTAATTATCACTCAATTATTCCTTGTGAAATGCAGGTACAGATAGATGAGAAGATGAAGACCCCCACTAAATCGAGCAGCCCAGGAGGGTTCACTTCGAGAGGATTTTGACCGATTATTTGAAATACTGGAGAGACTCATCGCTGCCCAGTAGGCCCGAAAGGAAATGAGCGAGCTACTTGATCCTCCCTCACTATCACAAGTTAAGCCTCCCCTGCAGCGGGAGGATTTTGAGCCACCTCGGTATGACCCTGCTCTTCCATAGTACCATCTGGCACCACTACAGTATGGTCAAGTACCCCAACCACAGTACCACCTGGCACCATCACTGTATAGCCTGGTGTCCCAGCCACATCACCCAGCACCACCACAGTACAATCCGATGCCTCCACCGTATCATTCGGTACCACCACAGGGCTATCTAGTCCATCCCCATCATAATCTAGTCCCTCTTCCACGGGACCCAGTTCCTCCCATAATGGACCGAGTCTACATTGAAAGGTATAAAAGACTAAATTCATCTACTTTTACAAGGAGATCTTCCTTTGAAAATGTAGAGTACTGGTTAGCTGAGACAGAGAAGACCTTTACGACTCTTGGGGTTATTCCCAAATAGAGAGTCATACTTACTACCTACATGCTAGTGGGAGAGGCAGGCTGTTGGTGGCAACTCAAGCAGGCCACCTTACTCGTTCCAGTCACTTGGAAACAATTCTTGATGGCTTTTAATACAGAGTACCTCCCAGAGCATCTTCGACATATAAAGGAAATAGAGTTTACAGACCTGGTCTAGGGTGACATTACTGTATCAGAATATACTCGAAAGTTCCTAGAGTTGGGCCGATATTCCCCTAAGAGCATGATGGATGAAGGCAGAAATGCAAGAAAGTTCGAGTGGTGTCTCCGTTCTGAGATTAGACAGCAGCTGTATGTGTTCGAGCTCAGTATTTACTCGGCTGTTCTGGCCAAAGCACAGTTAATAGAGATGAACCTTTGCATTTTTTCTCCAGCAGCAGGGAATCTCAGGCCCTCAGTTTCATACCGCAGACCCGCACCTACTGCACATGTTCAGCAGAACAAGAGACTTAGGCCAATGACTCAGGCTCCTCCTCAGATTCCAACAATAGGACACGATAGGATTTGCCAACACTGTGGTAAGGATCATGAGGACCGACCATACTTTCATCTCAACAATACCTGCCGTATATGTGGGAGTGTCTAGTATTACGCAAGAGAGTGCCCGAGAAATTAGAAGCAGACCAAACTTCCTATCCAGGGCAGAGCTTACAGCCTCACTCAGTAAGATGCAAAAGCCAACCCAGACGTGATCCAGGTACGTACACTATCTGTAATCATCTTGCACATATTTTGATTGATACTGGTGCCTCACACTCATTTGTTTCACATGTTTTTACACCAAACTTGAATGTATTACATGAAATACTTGATTCTATATTATTTGTGTCTACTCTTGGGAGTATGTGATTACTGGGGGAGGTTATATACAAAGTCTGTATCATAGATATAACAGATAAAAAATTAAGTATGGACCTAATAGAGATTGACACGAGGGGACTTTGATATAATCCTAGAAATGAACTGGCTATTAGTATATCACACCACCATAGATTGTTTCCATAAGAAACTTGTATTCAACCCTCCTAATAAAAAGTTATTTATAAATTAATAAAATTCTTTAAACATTATTCCCTCATGGCAATTTTTCCTATTATTAAGTGATATAACTTAGCTGTTTTCTCTAACTATGCAAATCTAAGAAATAAATTTGTATTCAAGAAATTTTGATAGTCCGAGACTTTCCAGATGTGTTTCTAGATGAACTACTTGGACTGTCTGTGGACAGAGAGGTTGAATTCACCATAGATCTTCAACCAGACACCCAGCCTATTTCGGTTGGCTCTTAACGCATGAGTCGTGTTGAG